ACGTTTTCATCCCAAGCTATGCGCGGCCTCCTCCTCCGCCTCCTGCTCCTCCTCCTCCTCCTCCTCCTCCTCCTCCTCTCCTCCTCCTCCTCATCCTCCGTCCTCATGATCCTCCTCTCGTGCTCATTCCACCTCCTCATCGTCATTGCACCTCCACTACCTCACATCATAAAACATCCTTCCTCCACCTCCTCCTCCTCCTCCTCCTCCTCCTCCTCCTCCTCCTCCTCCTCCTCCTCCTCCTCCAGCTGTTTGCCCTCGTTCCGCCACGCCCGTGCGCGGCCGACCGGACCGGCTCGCTCGCCAACTGAAGCGTGGCCTCAACGTATGCGCGCCCTCCTCAGTCCCGCAGCAGTGAGTAAAGGGAAATTTGGACACACAAATAAATACACACAAATAAAAATAGTCCCCATATTTTCCCATATTTTCTGGGTTTTTGTCTTCCCCCCCAATTCCCATATTTCCCCATATTTTCCTGGGAATCGAGGATTAATTGTGTCTGTGTGTTTTTTCCTCTCCTGAAGCAGACCCTGCAGCAGGTGAAAGTGCGGGCCCGTGCCCCCCCCCCGGGCGCAGGACGGCACGGCCGGCAGCGTGCCGTAGGCACGCCTGCCTGCCGCCGCCACCCTGCAGCACCTCGGGGCACGCGCTGCCGACTCGCTGCCCTGGGCGCCGACGCTCCGACGGCCTCGCGGAGGTGGCCTTTTGCTACTTCTTCCGCTGCGAGCGCCCACCCAGCGGAGCCCCGGCTCCGTTTCCTGCGTGGCTCCGCTTCCCCTCGTGGGGGCCATACCCACCCAGCGGAGCCCCGGCTCCGTTTCCTGCGTGGCTCCGCTTCCCCTCCTGGGGGCCCTGATGGCTCGCGTTGAAGTGCGAGCGGGCACGGGCCCGCACCGCTCTGAGGCTGCAGGGCCGCAGGGCTCCAAGCTGGCCGGCTGGAGGTGGCCTCCTGGGTCTCGGCCCCCTCGGCTGATCCTGCTCTTCGTGCTCGTGCCCGCGGCGTGCCTGCTGCTGGTCCTCCTGGCGGGCGCGCGCGCGCGATGAAAAAAACTGGGCAGAGGCCTGGGCAGAGGCCTCTCGCCACCATGTCAGCGGCGACCGATGGCCTCGCGCTTCCCCTCCACCTCGCGATGGCCGCGGAGCCATGCGTGAAGGCCTCCTAGATGGGGTCGGCGTAGATGGGGTCGGAGGATCGCGCCGCATCGGCGATACATCGGCGATGCATCGGCGATACATCGGCGATGCATCGGCGATGCAACGGCGATGCATCGGCGACGTCGACGTGAAGCAAATCGAGCTCCGCATCGAGCCGCATCGGCGATACGTCGGCGATGCGGCGCGATCCTTCGACCTGACCTGCTCATGCCAATGCTCGTGGTCCTCTTGTTGCAAGCGAGGGGCTGGCTCCCTGGGCCTGACGGGCAAACTGGTTGCGCTCCAGCTGGTGTTCCTCCACCTGCTCGTCCGCCTGCTGATGCAGATGGCGTCGGCGGCCTTGGCAGGGGGCGACGGCACGCGGCACGCACGCGGTGCCGTCCAGTGCCCAGGCTCGCATCAGGGCCCGCCAGTTCGGTGCGGCTGCGCGCCGGGAGTGCGGTGAGAACGCCGTCGTCGTCGTCGTCGTCGTCGTCGTCGTCGTCGTCGTCGTCGTCGTCGTCGTCGTCGTCGTCGTCGTCGTGCCAGGCCACCGCGGCGCGGAACGGTTCGCTTGGCAGTGCACCGTGCAGTGGGCTCGCGGCCAAGTCTGCCCTCGTGGGGTCGTCCTTCGGTCCCTCCGCTCGCGCGCGCGCAGGGCGGCCCCGTCAGTCTCTTCGCTTGGTCGCCTCCGTTCTCGGCCCGTCGTTGCGCCTCTCGGGCCCTCTCGTCGTCTCGGGGCCGCGTCGCTTGATGGATCCTAGGCGGAGTGCAAAGCCACAAACAAAACTCCTCGTCCCCTCTCTCCCCTCCTCCTTCTCCTCCTCCTCCTCCTGCTCCGCATCATCATCATCATCATCATCATCATCATCATCATCATCATCATCATCATCATCATCATCATCATCATCATCATCATAATCATCATCATCATCATCATCATCATCATCATCATCATCATCATCATCATCATCATCATCATCATCATCATCATCATTATCATCATCAGCAGCAGCATCATCATCAGCAGCATCATCATCAGAATCATCATCATCATCATCATCATCATCATCATCATCATCATCATCAGAATCATCATCATCATCAGCAGCAGCAGCATCATCATCACCACCACCACCACTCCCATCATCTGACACTGTACATTAGGTTGCCAATTCCTCTTATTCCTCCTCCTCCTCCCCCTCGTCCTCCTCCTCCTCTTTCTCCTCCTCCTCCTCCTCCTCCTCCTCCTCCTCGTCATCATCATCTCTCCGATTACGCCAGCCGCAGAGAGAGAGAGCCCCTTCTCCAAGAGGGACTTCCAGTACACGCGGCTGGTGTTGAACTGCTGACAGACGTGACTCAC